AGATTTGATGCTTTTCTGAAATGTTACTTTACCTAAATGTGAAGTTTTTTTAAAAAAAAATAATGATTTTTGGCATGTTTTCTTTTCCTATAATACCATATTATACCAATTCATAGCACGAATTATTTGACATCTGCACCTAGTGTAGAAAGAGTTAAGAGGAAGGCTTGAAGAAGATAGGGAGGGTGGATGGTTATATGGAAGCATTTTGAAATAATAGAAAACCCTGCCACTTGATTTTTAAAGGATGTTATCGGTGTTCTCATGGTGGCTGTGGTGATGGAGGATTTCATTCAATTCATTCTCTGAGAAGTACTTGTCGAAGTTCACAACTGTCTTTGTGAACAGGAGTGGAAGAATTACAATTTTTGCAGGATGGAAGGTAGGACATCTTCTGCCTATACATCTAGGTAGAAGGTTTTGCATTCTTAGCTCGTAAAAGTCTAAGTTAGACTCTGTTCAACCATACTTGTAAAGAGGTCTGTACAAGGTGAGTTCACTTTGCCTCCATAGAGAATATTGCACAGTAGTAGGAACTAAAAGTATGTCTATATCTTGCCAATTGAATTAGATTATTTTAATATATAAGAACTATAGGTGGTCCTCAGCTTACAACAATGTATTTAGTTGCTATTCGAAGTTACCATGGCATTGAAAAAAAAGTGACTTAGGACTGCCGTATTTATATGTGGTTGCAGCATCCTGAGGTCACATGATCTTTGCAAACCTCTCAGCTGGCTTCCGACAAGCTAAGTCAGTGGAGGAAGCCAAATTCACTTAATGAACTCATGATTGCCTTAACCATGGTGATTTACTTAGTGACCAAGGCAAAAAAAAGATCATAAAATATTTTATGATCTTTAACATTGCTCGCTTAATGACCTCTTTGCTTAGCGATGGAAGTTCCAGTACCAATTGTGATCGTAAGTCAAGGACTACCTGTAATATTCAAATTTCTTCTTAAACATTATAAAAAAGAATGGGAGTTTAAAAACATTAACAAATGAAAGAAAGAAATATAACTTGCTTTCACCCATAACACTTGTCAGTTGTTCCATGCCATCTTCACGGTATTCAGCATTTTAATGAACAGTTATGGTATCTACCCAATGTTGTGGTTCACTGGCGGCGGGTGCAGATGGCTGAGGTCTCTGAGAGCGAGGACTTGGATGAGGGGCCTGTGTGTGATGCAGGGATGGGGCCAGGACTATTGGAGAGTGGGGTGCTGCCTTCGGAGCTTGGGGAGTCTGGCAGGAGTGATGCAGAGGACCCCGAGGAGACTGTGCCCAGTGTGCAATGTGCACAGGGCTGCTTGAAGGAAAGAGCAGCTGCAGCAGCATGGGCAACTTGGGAGTAAGGCTGCAAGGTGATGGCCCCTCCCATAAGGGATAAAAGCCAGCCCTCAGGGGTGGGGTTCTTTGCAGGAAGCAAAGAAGTTATTTCAACTCCAAGTTCTTGTGGAAGTCCTGTCTATCCTGGTTTGTTTTCGGAGACTTTTGGTTTTGGATGTTTCCCTGCAATTAATCTTGTGTTCTTGGCAGCCTTTCACAACCTTGAAAGGCCTTGCTCTTATGTGGGACAATTAGTTTTAATGACTCTTTGCTGTGAATGAACAGAATTCACAGAGACGCATTTGAAAGGTTTGCTGTTACATATACTTTGTGTTTATTTGATTTGAACGAGGCTTGGGTCAGAATACCCAACGATGATAATGAAAACCATTCATTGAGAAATGAATGTTCCTAACCTGTCCTTCCCATGTTATGCCAAATTGGGGCAGAATGTTGAATGCATTCACAGGCAACATTTAGGAGTGTAGGTCGTTCCATTTTTCATGAATACTGCTTTTTCCTCCCAAATGCTTCCTCGTGACGAGTAACCTTTCTATACCCCCCAACACAAATGAAGAAAGTTTTAAGCAGAAATATCCTCTCAGCCAGGGATGGGATTCAAATATTTTAATAACCGGTTCTGTGGGTATGGCTAGATGGGCATGGCCATGTGACTGGGTGGGCATGGCTTTTTTTTTGCAGCATTCCCCCCACCCCCCCATTTTTTTGCCTTCTGGATCCCAGGAAAGCTTCCGGGGGGGCATTGTTGCTCCCAGAAGACTTCCCTGAGGCCCAGGAAAGCAAAACAAATGGAGCCTGTAGGGGGTGCACAGCACCCCTCTATGCTCTGTTTTTGGGGCTTTGAGGGCCTCAGGGAAGCCTCCTGGGCAAAGCAGTAAGACAGCGAGGGGGATCCCGGCACAGCTGATCATCAGAACAGCTGATCGTCAGAACAGTTGATCGTCAGAAGGGGGAAAAAGAAAGAAATACCTTAAGGACTGACTGAGTGGGGAGGGGAGAGGTAGGCAGAGAGGGGCAGGGTGGGGCCAGCCAGGGACACGATTTGCCGGTTCTCCGAACTGTACAGAATCATTACAACCGGTTCTATAAAACCGGTCAGAATTGGTAGAATCCCACCTCTGCTATAAGCCCTGTAAAAGAAAAGTGTCTCTTTTCTTTTACATTGCAATACTCTTGTGTATTTTTGTTACTGAGGAGAGGCAGGGTGGAGTAGAATTGCTGATCAAGGCTTCCGATCTCTAATTCCTCTTAATTATTGTGAGAGCCCATGCGTTCTCTGTCACAAAACACTGCACTGTAAGATGATCCTTCTTAGTCTGCCGGCTATGCTAGCTCTCTTCCAATGGAAAGGTAGTCCTCGTCTTACGACCACAATTGAGCCTGAAATTTCTGTCGTTAAGCGAGAGGCATTTGTAAAGTGGGCTTTGCCCCTTTCTACGGCCTTTCATGCCACAGTGGTTATGTGAATCGCTGATAAGCAGCTGATAAGTTGGTAACCCGGTTGTTAAGTGAATCTGGCTTCCCCATGGACTTTGCTTGTCAGAAGGTTGCCAAAGGGGATCGCGCGACCGTGGGGCACAGCAACGGTCGTAAGTATGAACCAGTTGCCAAGCATCTGAATTTCGATCGCGTGATCATGGGGAGGCTACAAAGGTCGTCACTTTGAAAAACGGTCATAAGTCACATTTTTCAGTGCCGTTGTAACTTTGAACAGTCACAACTGTTGTAAGTTGAGGGTTTCTTGTACTGTTTTCTGCTGCCCTCCTCAAACTTAAAGGCAACATTCTCTGGTCACATAGGTATTTTTTTTTCGTCCTTGCACCTTTAGATTGCTTTCCTTAAGAACTTCTCCACTTCTGCAAACTGTGAGAATCCACACCCAGAACATCTTTTAACAAATCAGAATGAGATGCTACCTTTTGATCATGACTCCTGTTTCTTTTACCTCTTTGAATGAAGAACTAGCAAGAGAGGCCATTGTAGCAATGGAATTTTGACATTTCTTAAGGGAAAAAAAAAATCATCTGGTATTTTTTGTTACGAAAGAAACATTTCACATAGATCTCGGTTTTTAAAATAGTCTACTACTTAAAGGACAGTGTTCAAGGTTGTGGCTGCATTGAGCACGTACGTAGCCACTTCTTGCTCAAGGAGTCAGGAAAGTTATGAGACTGTTCCTAGAAAAAGAAATAATTCAAAGAAAAGTATGTTATCCTTTCTCATCTGAACTTTGGTTTTATTGTATTTCAGGCAAATTCAGAAGGGAATTAATGCAATTGCGGAAAATTTATGCCTCGATTATATAATATATTTTACTGCAAATGCAGCAGTTTGTGGCAGAACAAGGAAAAAAAGAACCAGTGTAAAAGACCCACTTTGTAATGGATGTGCCAGCAAGATGTATATAGCAAGCTCACCACAAAGTTATGAAAGCTCATAAAGACACACGTCAAAACTTCCAGATTATTCTCCACCGTAGATAAAAATTGGAAGAATTCTCATTTTACGCCTACTGAATGCATCAGGATCCCCTACACAGTCTTCTCTTTTTAAAAAGCCTTTCCCAATCAGCGGTGTGTGAGGAGAGATTATGTGGAGGTTAAGAAAGGAATGAAAGTGAGAGTGGACATAACAATCAAGAAAAAGCAAGTCTCAGTCCAGCTGAGAAGAAACCCAGGAAAAGAGTGGACACCCTTGGCTTCCACCTTCACAGGATTCTACTTACTTCCATATTATTTGTAGTTAAAAAATTTTGGACTATAGAATTTGAAACGCTGATATTAAACCATGATAATCTATGACCGTGCTTTCCCAACTTGGCAACCTTAAAGTTATGTGAACTTCAAATCCCAGAATTCCTTAGCCAGCATTCTGGCCAGGGAATTCAAGGACTTGGTTCCTACACCTTAAAATTACCAAGTTTGAAAAACACCGATCTGTTTGGACATATAAATTATTATTGAAATTAGACATAGAGAAAGAAGCATTTTGATTAATTCAAATGGACTCTGCGTCCATGAACTCGTTATAAATTATAACTCTGTGAAGGACCCAGACAGTTTCTAAGTGAGATGGATGGATGGATGGATGGATGGATGGATGGATGGATGGATGGATGGATGGATGGATGGATGGACAGACAGACAAACAGACAGATTGATTTTAGAAATTCCTTTTACAATTTCCATGATGTGGTCCAAGACTGATGATTTTGATTTTGTACCATAAAGTCATTGCCAACCCTTAACAACTTCACCAACATCAAATATATTTTACTGAAGACTTGCTTCTTTCATCTTGTACAGTTATATGACACTTGACACAACAGCAACAGTAGCATTCCCAAAGCCATGGAGAAACAAAAACAGCTCTTGGGATTTTAGCATTCCTGAGTAAGGAATTTAGCATTACTTCCAAGAGTAAGGAGAAGTAATATCTCTATCTCTATCTCTATCTCTATCTCTATCTCTATCTATCTATCTATCTATCTATCTATCTATCTATCTATCTAGACACACACACACACACACACACAGTATATCAGTATATATAAAATCCTAGAATGGCTATAACAGTTGAGAGTGAGAAGCATTGTTTTGAGTGGTTCTCTTCCTAGATCAGACTTGGTGTTCTCTCTTCTGCTGTTTAACACCTACATGAAACTTCTGGATATTTGCATGAGGTAAGATATCAGCAGTATGCTATCTAGTATGATATCTAGTTACATTCGGGTCCTCCTTGGTTATCAACTCATTCAGCAACATTCAAAGTTATAACGGCACTGAACAAGTGGTACTTATAACCAATCCTCAAAGTTCCCACTGTGCCAGCACCTCCACAATAACATGATCATGATCAGGGCTTCCAGATGAGATCTTATGGCAGGTTAGATATCCCTGTGAGCATCTCCATTAGCAGGGATAGTACTTTGGTGAAATCAGTGGCCAGGAAGCAGGTTCTGGCTAACTAAATTCTCTTTGTAGAAGGGAAGATTGGTGGATTGCCCACTTGCACCATGGATAATTGGTTTTCATGAGGAGACTATAGGAATGGAATCTCTTGTAGTTAAGTGTGAGTTGGGTAGCTTGGAAGCTGAGAGATCAACATAGTGCTCAAAACCGTTTTGTAACTTTTGTGAACAAATAAGCTGCAAAAGCTTCACTTTCTTAAACTTTTTTGAATACAACTAATTCACAGCTTAAGAGGGATGTTCTGAAAGACAGAACAAAAGCACTTGATCACCTTCTGTTGTAATTAAAAAATTTAAAAAAAATCTAAAAGGATTTTGACTTGAAAGCAAAAACTTAGCGAAATCGTGATTTAAGAAAGGTTTAAATGGATAAAGGGAATGGTAATTTTAGAAAACAGAAGAATAATTTTGTTTTGTTGATAAAAGTGCTTTTGAATATAGTAAAAAATTAACAAGAAAATAGGTGGAACCTCCATAAGAATGTTGATTGCTTATTACCTTTACTTATTATTGCTTAGAGAAAGTAGACAATTGGTGGATTTTACAAAATAAAAACAACAGTAATATAAACCAGACTGTGTGACTATAACTATGGAGAGCTAATTGGGACTAAAGAGTTAAAGAGAGGAAAAAAAGAGCAAGAAAGAGAAGAGTTAAAAGAAAGAGAAGACCAAAAGAGGGGGGGAAAGAGATGAAGCATGCCTTTTACTTTAATCCTAGAAAGGAGCAGAAATAGGAGAAGGACAGTTTCACTAGAACAACTTACAGATAAAAGCATCACACCAGATTTATTGCAGAAAATGTTTGAGAAATTTGGCAAGAAGACGATTTCAACAGTTGCCAATGGTTTGGATGCTTTTAGAATGGAAATGTTAGCTGTATTGGTAGGGATAAAAGGAAAAATACAAAAGAAGAAAATCAAAGAAGATGTAGGATAATTGGCTGGAGACATAAAACAAATTAATGACAAAGTAGAAGTTTTGGAAAATAAGATAGGTTATAAATAGAGAGATGGAGAAAGATCTGGAGTTACTGAAACTGAGAAAAAAAGAATTTTAAGATTTAGAGCAATTTCAAGGGAGAATATATCAGAAAAAAGATTATCTGTCTAACTTTTTGCATTGGGATCAAGATGACATTGAGACACAGATAGAAAAGGTTTATAGGATCAATATACAATTGCAAAATTAAGAAATGTTCCAAGGGAAGTCCTTGTATACCATCAGGAAGACTAGAGCTCAAGCTTTGCAGTAGTGTTTGAATAGTAGATTGAGAATTCATGATACAGGGCAAATTGAACTTGAAATTTCAATTCGAATATTAAGTAAGAGGAAAGAATACTTTTTTCTGACATACTTAACTAGAAGAAGATTCAGCTCAGATACATTGGAAGGAATGGTTTTTCCTTTTAAACAGCAGAGATTCAGACTGAACTGTGTGCAGAAAGCAAACATTTCTGGGGAAAATTCAAAAGGATTGAAATATATGCAAATAAAAATGAGGATCACAGATGTGTCTAAACAATTGCACCAACGAATACAAAATATTGAAGATGATGAAGCTACAAAAATAGTCTCTTGACATAATTATGGATTGTAAATGCTTAATGTGGAATATAAATGAAGCAGTAGTTCCTCAAAAGAGAAAAAAAATATTCCATTATCTGATAAAGTTAAAAGAAGATGCTGTTTTACAAGAAACACATATTAGGGGAAAAGACATCAAGTACTTGAGTCACAAAAAAATTGGATGAAGAATTTATTTCAGCAGTAATGAAAAAAAGAAAGAAAGAAGTGGAATTGTTTTGTATAAATCTTCAATTATAGCCAAAACTTAATGTGGCAGATATGTTGGGGTGGAAGTTAATGTACGGGGGGGGCTAAGATTTTGATATTGGGAAAGTCAACCCTTATTCTCCTCCTCAATGAAAAAAATAATAATAAGAGACACAAAAGGTCATCAATTCCCTGCAGGATATTTTCACTCAACCTGAAAGAATCTCCCATTTTAAAATCTTCGTGTACAATGAGTAATGCACAGACATTTTTTTTTTTTTGTCTTATTAGCAACCTTGGTCCAGACTGATTTTCTGAACTACATGGCAGTTTTGTCCCTACATTGGGATTGTTGGGTAGAACCACTGGGGACAATTTTCACTTCAAGCTTTGTGAGTTTGATATATGCACGGGGTGAACAAAGATCTGTCCTTCCCTCATGTGTCTGGTTCACCTTTCCTTTTTATAGCTGAATTGTCCTTTTCAGAGTTTCTAAGCCCTCTAGAGCCAAAGCTAGTGATTTCTGTGCATCAGTTCAGTTCAATTCAGGCAACCCTATTTTCAACCTTTGAAAAGGAGCCGTCTCTATTTTCTATTTATTTATTCAAAGCCCCGGCTCCAGGGAAGCTCATAATACTTTTCTAAAATGACATTTATAACCATAATTTAAAAGTAAGACGACTTGTTTAAAACTTTGTAATTAAGGGGAGTGGCAAGCTGCCAAGGTTCTCAGGGACGATTTCTCCAGGGCCACGAAAACGACAGGCCTCTACCATGCGTGAAGGTAAAAATCGCTCCCCTGCTTGAAATTACATTGCCAGGTAAATCCACTTCCACTAAAGCCCGAGAAGGTTATTTGGAGCTGAAGGGAACTAAAGTTCAATTCCGCTTAGAGCTTTTTTGATTGAATTTTGGAAAGTGAATACAAAAAGGAGGCAGCATTTCTTTTTTTCCATTTTAGGGAAACTGCAGCATCAGGCGGTCAGTAAAAGTCATAGGAACATCTATTCTTGGAACTGCTTCCCAATCTAATTTTCCATGTTAAAACAATTCTCATCATCATTAAAGAGTGAAGCAAGTATCATTCAGAGATTGGGGATTAGAGAGCCCTGAATTTGGCTACCATTAGAGATGGTTGCATGTACTAACTCTTGCCTCCAATGCCGTAATGGCTTCTTCAGATGTTGCATCTGATTATGTGCAGATGAAAGACAGCTCTGTTGTTAGGCTGAGAGAAACAGCCACAGCAGATGAAGATGCTCCAAGGCAACAGCGCTTACTATATTTTGCTAAGCACAGATCAGGAGAAAAAGATGATAGCCACAGAATTCTGTACAGCAAGATAAATTTAGCCCACCTAGCAAAACCAATAACCAACAAACACAACAGCCACGTGTTTAAAAAGTTTAAAATGACCACAAAAGAGCAATAAACCTGTTCAACGATAGCAGTGTGTTGGAAAAAAAAGAACTAAGCAATCTCTCTAAGGCATCCTTATGCTTTCAAGTGCAGTAGATCAGTGTTGAAAAATAATTGTTGCTACCCAGCCAGTAAGCTCTGCATGTGAAATGTAGGGGCCTTCCACTCAGTAAGCTCTGCATGTGAAATGTAGGGGCCTGCATGTGAAATGTAGGGGCCTTCCACAGCCTTCAGTGGATCTTTGGGCAGACTAAGGAGACCAGTAAGAGTTGATGCATTTTGATCATCAATCTGAATCACCCTTGTGCAGTATTCTGGAATTAATCTCAGAGCAGTTTCAAAATTTCCCGCGACAATTCTTGTCACAAGAATTGAAAAAAAGTGGACTTGAAGGAAAAGGAAGAACAGCAGACTTCAAGTAGGGATGTAAAAAAAAAAAAAAAAAAGTAAATTGCAATGCGTGTGAACTGGTATAACCTCCTAAAATGGAATTTGCTGAATTGCAGATTGGCCATATCATGCAGGCAGCTAATGAATGTCATTTTCTCTTTTCAAAAATTCAAATAGAAAGTATGTATTCCGGAAAGATAGGTCCACAAATGGAGTAAAACAGAAGAACATCCTTTTTGAAAGCATATTTTAGGGATGTGCATATGCCCCCCCCCCGCCCTCATTTCTAAAAGTCAAGTGTTGCAACCACGTTGCTTTGCTTCATTGCTTCCATCCCATGGTGCTTGAAATAGCCAGCTTTATAGAAATGTTAGAGGTGAAATACAATATGTCCTAGAGCAGGGTTGTCAAACTCATGTTGTCATGTGATGTATTGTGACTTTTTTCCCCCTTTGCTAAACTGGGCGTGGCCAGTGCGTGATGCATCCAGCCTGTGGGCCACGAGTTTGACAGTCCTGTCCTGGAGGGAAACATTCTTGTGCTAATCGTAGTTTGCTTAACTGTAGCTCATTATAATTAGCCATAGTCAACTGGATTCACAAATCATAGCAATCCTAAATCATGGCTTACAAACCATAATGTCAATGTCTTTTTTTCATTTTGATTGCCCTTTTTCACTTTGACACTTCTTTTAAAGGGAAGGTGCAGGGAACCGGACCTGTGAGTTTCTACATGGCTTCTGTCTCCTTAGACATCTGTTTTTAATGCTCAATAGATCTCTGCCCCCAAAATGATGTTAGCAGAGAACTGAATAGTGACCTGTGAAATGGCCCTAACAGGAAGATAGTAGCTATCTTAGAACACTCATTCATTCATTCATTCACTCTTTCGTTCATTCATTTCTGTAGCCAACTATCTCAATCAAGTGGTTGTATAGTGAAAAAAAAAAAAGATTGAGTGGGAAAAACTGTCATTGGCAGAGGAAGAGTGCAGCCCTTCCATAAACTCCTACTTGGCATAACTAGTGCCTATGGTCGTTTGGCTCCCCCTTTAATTTATGAATTCCTTTGACACCTTTCACACTAGAAGGGATTTATCACAAAATTAGGTGGGATAATTGACAGTTTACTCTGTAGGTAAAATAAAACCGCTAAAGTTGTCTGTAAAAAACACTTTACAGGCTGTGCAAGAAGATGTAGAGAAAAACTTCTTGGAACCTATAATTTACAGCCTTGGACATTATGATCAAGATCTGGGAATTACAGGTTTGTATTTGCAACCATTTGTTTAGTGGCCATTCAGAGTTACAATGGCACCTGAAAAAAAGGGACTTATGATCATTCCTCACATTTATGATCATCACAGCATCCTCATGATCACATGGTCAAAATTCAGGCACGTGGCAGCCAGTATGTATGTTATGATGGTGGCAGTGTCCCAGGGTCATGTGATTTGCAGCCTTCCCAGCCAGCTTCTGACAAGCAACATCAGCAGGGGAAGCTAGATTCCATTGAACTCCCATGCCATTCACTTAACAACCATAGCAAAATAGGTCATAAAATTGGATGCAATTCACTTAACAACTGCCTTACTTAGCAATGGAAATTCTGGCCCCCAACTGTGGTTATTAGTCAAGGACTACCTATAGTTGGATTTTGAAGATTATAAACAGCTGAATTTAGTCAGAACACCGAATCCTTCAAATTCTGTAGAATTTTTTAAATTGATTTGGCCACTTTAAAAGGTAGTTGATAGCATGGGCAAGGAATGTAGGGCATCATATTAATTTGGAAGACTGGGAAAGAATTTGGAAAAAAAAAAGACAAAATAACAAAATCGACAGTATATAAAGAGAATCCGTACAAAATGTGTTATCGGTGGTATCTGGCCCCTTTGAGATTAGCCAATATGTATCCAAATTTAAGCCCACTTTGTTGGAAATGCAAACAAACAAGGAGTACCTTCTTCCACGCTTGGTGGCTTTGCCCAAAGAGTAAAAAATATTGGACAAAAATACAAACATGGATAAGAGAAATAACGAACATTCAATTAGAATTTAAGGCAGAAATTTTTTTTATTGGAAATAATAAAAGGTGAATATGCAAAAGAAATAAAATATTTAATTTTACATATAATTACG